ACCCAAATAGCATTTCATAGGGAGTCTTTCCCTTCAACAGAATGGATGGTGTCCGATTGATCAAATAACATGCGGTCAAGACACATTCCCCCCAAAAATCAATAGGCAAGCTAGTTTGAAAGTGCAAAGCTCGGGCAACATTGAGTATGTGGCGGTGCTTATGTTCAACCCTCCCGTTTTGTTGAGAGGTCCCGACACAAGTGGTTTGATGAATAATACCACTTTCAGCAAAATARCYAVCCARGCAKACAAACTCAGTCCCATTATCAGTACGGATCACCTTTACAGGTTTGTTAAATTGCCTTTGAACCATAGCAAAAAAATTTCGAAGAACTCGTCCCACTTCCGTCTTATCAACCAGAAGATAGATCCAAACGCCTCTAGAAAAAGCGTCTACTATGGTCAAGAAATAATGAGCACCACAAGAGGCTGCAGTTCTATAAGGGCCCCATAAATCACAATGAATTAACTCAAAAATATCGGATGCTTTATTATTACTAGAAACAAATTCTTCTCGACATTGTTTAGCTCGGAAGCATGCATCACAACCCTTAATACTATCATCATTATCATTCTTAGAGCTAATAAAAGGCAGCAACTTAACAATTCTATAAGAAGGATGCCCTAAACTTTGATGCCAAATATCCCACGTTCTGCTCTCTGTAGTCTTCATTGCTCTTGTTGATGTAATGCTCTAGAAATAATAGAGTCCCTCTCGCTGCTCACTCGCTCCAATCAGCATCCTCGTAGTGCAATTCTGTATCACATAGAATTTATTAGTGAACTGGACAATACAATTCGATTCCTCAATCAATTGCGATACAAAAAGTAAATTGCAATTCAAACTAGGCACATATAAAACACTAGTCAGTTTCAGATGATTGTACAGTGCAACTGTGCCTTATTTCTCTGCTATTGTCACTTTCCCGTCTGGTAACCCGACAGAGCACAGAATGACATTATTTATGTCTCTCATCAACTCGAGGCTTCCTGTCATATGATGAGAGGCCCCTGTGTCTATTATCCATTTTGACAATTTTTGCTTACCACTTAGTTGTTGACTCCCCTCTTTTTGTGTCTTCAGAAGGTTGAGTAACTTGTTCCACTGCTCACTACTTATTCCATTTAACCGAGTCTTGGCTGCATCAATTGATTCTCCTTGAGACGCATTGCCTTGTGTAGAGGCTTTGGCTGTATTGGCCTTGACTTGGCCGCCACGTCCTTTTTCTCCTGCCCCTGCTCCTTGTTTCTGTCCACCACGCCCTCGGCCTGTTCCATGGGCATTATTCTTCGGCCGATCGCCCCACCATTCAGGGTAGCCGATCAGTTGGAAACAAGACTCTGTATCGTGGCCTGCCTTGTTGCAGTGAGTACATACTACGTTCTTGTCTCTGCCTTCGCTTTGCCTCTTCCCTGCATGGGCTGCGAAGGCCACGACTTCAGTCTTCTCTTCCTTTGCTCTAGTCATGGTTTGAACTTGCTCATCTTGAATTACTATAGCATAGGCTCGATTCAAACTTGGCAAGGGTTCTGTACTCAGTATATGCGAACACACACCTCCATAGACCGTGTCGTCTAGCCCCATAAAAAATTGATGAAGTTTCTCTTCATCTCGCTTCTTATCCCATGCCCTGCTTATGTTGCAGCTGCACTTTCCACATTGACAAGTGGGATATTGCTCATAATTTCCCAATTCCTCCCAAATCATCTTGACTTTGCCATAGTAATTCAGAATTGTCATTCCTCTTTGTTTGCAATTTGCCAGCTCGGATTTGAGTTGTTGAACTCGTGGTCCATTACCTACAGAGAATCGCTCCTTTATGTCGTCCTAGAGCGTCTGCACAATCTCAGTGTACGTTACGGTTGAACGTAAATTAGGTTCAATCGTATTCAGAATTCATGACACAAGCATGGAATTCACCATCCACCAATCTTCCAATTCCACCAAATTGTCCGAAGGTTGCTTCACTGATCAATCGATGAGGCCGAATTTCTTCTTGGCTTGCATGGCCGCTCTTATTGCTCGAGCCCATTCATCATAGTTGTCGCCTCTAAGCTGGATCTGTGTGATAATGCTGCTTGGATTGTCATTGGTTGATAGAAGGTAGGGCGAGATCACATTCCTTATCAATTGACCACTGCTTTGTTCTTTTTCTCTGTTTTCGGCCATCGGTGGGCTGATCTCGTACTTCACAAGTCTTGACAGAAATCCAAATCCCAAAAAAAACAAAAGGGAGTTGAGCTTCAGAAATACCTTTAGTCCTTATAATATATAGAAAAAACTGCTCTTCGGATTTGGGATTGCACTGACCGAACTCGCGAGTCAGTCCTTATAAAAGTTGCTCGTCGAATTTGGGATTGCAGTGGCCGAACTCGCGAGTCATCCGCAACTAGACCTATTCATGGGCCGGGCTTTGACTCTTTATTAACAGAAAAATGTTAGGCCCGAGCCCGAGCCCGGCCCGACCAATGGGCCTACAACTTGGGCCCGAGCCCGGCCCGACCAATGGGCCTACAACTTGGGCCCGAGCCCGACCCTGATAAAAAGCCTAAAGCCCGAGCCCGAGCCCGAAGCCCGACCTAATAAAAGAAATTTGAATTTTTCCTTATTCAAATGGACATTTTCTATTTTAGTTTAGATGTTTTTTCCCCTATTTAAATGACCAATGGGCCTACAAGTGAATCAACAACATTCTCAAATCAAAAAATTTATTCAAATGGACATCACATAGGGTTTTTACTTAGGTTTAACTATAGGTTGGGCCGGGCCGGGCTCGGGCCAGGCTAGTTTGGCAAAGCCCGAGCCCGGCTTGAATTTTATGCGGGTCGGGCTTTTTGGCCCGAGGTTGAGCCCGCGGGCCAAAAAGCCTGTTCAAGCCCGTCTGGGGGTCGGGTCGGGCCGGGCCGGCCCGTCGGGCCACCCGACCCATGAACATGTCTATCCGCAACCAACCGCTTTTGAAGCTTTTGCTCCAAAAAGAAGATGATCGCTGGTAATAGATTGTCGTTGCTGGTAAGAGATCGCCGCCGCTGGAACAAAAGACGACCGCTGGTAATGGATCGCCGCCGCTGGAACGATTCCCGCCTCTCAGTGTTCGCACCGCTGGTAATAGATCGCCGCCGCTGGAACGACTTCCGACTGCTGGTATTCGAACTCCTGGTAATAGATCACCGCCGCTGATCTCCAGAGGTCTTGGAACACAGGCCTCTTGCTTTCGTTTCGAGGCTCTGATACCATGTAAAACTAATGCT